CGGTTGTTGGAAATGTTGTGACGTAGTAGGTGTCAATAACGTCGTCTATTATGTATTTAAAGACGTCATATTTCTATTCGTCGTTAAAGGTTTATTTAACAGCGTTGAGTTTTAGTTCTCGTCGTTGTATGTTTATCTTGCGGCCATGTTCTGTTAATATATGTCATATGTTTCCTTTTTAACGACGTTTTTTTGTTAGAGTTGGTCGTCTATTCTCATCCTCGACTGTTTTTTTATGTCTTTTTGCAGTACAAAGACATCGGTTTTTATTTGTTGATGACGTTTTTTGTTTTAACAACAACGGGTATTTACCGTCGTGGTTTTATTATGGAAAAGATGTCGGTGGATTCCACGACCATTTGAAAACTGAATACACGACGGTGAATTCCCGTCATGTTTTTCCTTTTTTGTAGTAGTGTAAGTTATGACCTCAAATCTCGGTCTAACATGACTGCATTCAATAATAATATTTGTAACCACTCAACAATATCAAATAAACTTCTCATTAAGTGTTTCACTATTCGTGATCACTGATTTCAAGTTAGAAACATCGTTTGTCATCGATCAATGCATGTCTTCTATATCTCACGAAACAAACTGGATAAGTACATACATTTTATCTCTCAAGGGCTCAAGCAAAGGTATTTTCTCGTAAAACCAAAACTATTTTACTCCAAAACTATAACTATAATTGAATTGAAAAAAATTACTATTTTACAAACTATCCAATGTAAACTTCATACCAGCAGCGCAACAAACATCTGGACACAGATGTTGACTTTTAGCAGTTCTTTAAGATTTTTCTTTCCAAAAGCTTTGATATTGCATTTGCCCAATTATAGTTTGTCATTGTTCAGACATCTTGAAAATGTGAAATTATGTTTCAAGAGATTGAATTATCACTATTGCAAAAGAATACTGTAATACAAAAATGAAAATACATAAGGCATACAAAATCTTAACATAATTCACTTTAATTTATTTTCTATTTTTTATCACTATTGCCTTTGTGGTTCCACCCCAAGGGGCAAGGGCAAACACTATTCACTTTAATTTATTTTCTATTTTTTATCCTTAAACCATTAATTTTGATAAGGTTTTCAGATAATATTTTCGGTTGCCACATGTCACTATTTATTATAAAATTCTCACCTAAAATTTCAGATAACATTTTCGAATTAAATTTTCAGATAAGATTTTCGGTTGCCACGTGTCTTACTTCAGATTAGATTTCCGGATATTTATTTAAAAAATCTAGTCTCATATTTCAAATAGATTTTCACCCTCTAAAATTGCATCACGTGTTCCATGTCAGATAAGATTTTTGGATATTTACTAAAAAATTATAATCTCATATTTCAGATAAGATTTTCACCCTCTAAAATTGCACCACATGTCCCATATCAGATAAGATTTTTGGATATTTACTAAAAAATTATAATCTCATATTTCAGATAAGATTTTCACCCTCTAAAATTGCACCACGTTAATCCCTCTATAAAACTACAATCTCAACTCTTACCTCTTACACCATATCTTCTCTAGTATTTCATTTCTCAAATTTTACAAAACACATTCTACTCTCAATGTCTAACCTGAGGAGAGTGTTGGAAAGACAAGAGCGAGAAAAGGAAGAAATCAAGCACAGATGTAATAACCCAAACCTTAATTAATATTTAATTATTAAACTATTAAGAGGAAAGGACAATTTTGCCCTTGGATTAGTTTATTGAAGAAAAAGTTGACTTTTGACCGATAAAGAATTTGACAATTCCACATGCACTATTGCGTAGAGCGCGACGAAACGAGTCCGTAGACACGTAGTGGGCTCGAATCGGAGTTATAATGAAGGAATTATGGTCAAAATATATAGAAGGGCAAAATGGTAATTTTCCAAAGCCAGATTTTTAAAACCCCAATTCTCTCTCCTCCCTCAGTCTCTTCTCTCTCCCGACATCCTCCCTCAAGCCGAACCTTCAAACCTCCATAGCCACCACGTCTGACCACCGCAGCCCTTGTCGCCGGTGCCAAAAGGACCAGCTCGGAGCCACCTTCAAACCCCGACCACTTTCCTCCGTCAGCTGCCGCAAAACTGCAGGAAAACTCAAAGGAAAGTCGCCGGGTTTTAAATAACTTCCAAGCTTTCGATCCCCGTCATCCGGCCACCAATTCGGACGAGTGAGGTATGGATTTCTAACTATTTTCCATGCTCTAGCTGATGGTTGGGTCGGATTTGAGAAATTTCTAAGTTTGATGGGTTGATTTTCGATTTAGGTTTCAGCCGGTTTTGAGATGGTGATTCCAGCCACTTCCGGCCACTTTTTGGGGTCGGTCCAAGAACAAAAGTGGTTCCAAATATGGTGTTACACATAGGATAGGAGTCTTGAGCCATAACTACTGAGATTTTCCAGCGAACTTTATCGCTTGGGTTACTCACATGCTGCCAGCACGTGTGGCAGCGTGTGGGCAGTCTGTGGGAACCACATTCAGTCCTAGAATGATCCTCATGTTGTCACGAGCGTGTAGGAATTCGCAAATCTCAATTCGGACAACATTTGAACCCCAAACAAATCCCGCATCGTCTGTGATTTCCGAGTTTAATACAGTTGAGCCATTGGATAGTAATCTTTTTCAGATATGTTAATCTAGACAATACCAGGATCATTTAGGGTTTGACGGATTGTGAATCGGAGTCCCGGATACTCCGAAATCGCAAACCCTAGGGTTAAGGTTTTGGGAACCATTTGATCGTGCAATCGTGACCAATCCAACTGTCCGATCAAGACCAGAGTCACGGGACATGTATCCTAGGTTCAAAGGGACGTTAATGCGGGCATTGGAATAACTTTAATGTGATGCACGCACTTCTAGGAGCTGAGGTCAGGGTTTTTAGTTTATTATTATATTGAGTAAGTATATCAATATAATATTATGGTAATTGAATCAGGCACTCGAGCACCAGTTGACCCGCAGGAGGGACCTTTAAAAGGTCCAGCGAGCCCGAACCAACTGTGAGTGGACTCTTTGTTTTCAAAAATGAATTTATGCAATTCAGTTACAGTATTTGATCTTGAATAAGTTTGTTCAAAGATTAGTGTTTTATAAGTTGGTTTGTGCTTTTACATATTTTGATTTATATGATGCCGAGTGGGATATCCTTTATGGATATAGGAAAAGGAAATTCTAGCTAAATATCATATTAATGGCAGCAGAGTTTTAGATTTACAGAAATCCAGTTATTCATCAGATCTTTCAGAAATTTTATATTTTCTTAAGCCACCTTAAGTACCCATATAGAAACATGTTGCCTTCGGATAAATTGGTTGGCTTCGGTAAATATGTTGCCTTTGGATTTTATTGGTTGCCTTCGGTTTAGTCAACATGCTTGACAGTTGGCCCAAGAGTTCTATGGTACTCGGACTCGTGCGGAGCGAGGATGCGGATCAGGTTGACTTATGTCCCCTGAATCATGCGAGTTTGCGGCTCGGATTGACCTTGTGTCACCGAGACCTGCGAGAGCGTGTCACCAATGGTGATACGAGGAATTGACGAATATCAGGAATTGAAGGAAATAAGGGGTACACCTAGGTGGTAGTTTTAAACTGATTTCAATGCTTTTAAGAGTTTAAGTTGACCATGAGTATGATTGGTATATATATATATATATGTATAAATATACGATTGCATTGATTTCAGTACGTATATAATGAAGAGAATGTTTTAGTTTTGAATAACTAGTTTTACAGTGGGGTTATTCCGTTCTTATGTATTTTTCTAAACTTTGTTTTTGGGTCCACTCACCTTTTTAATGTTTTGCGCCCCCAGGCAGTAGATGTTCATCCGTGAGCCACCACAGGGCAGTTTCTGCTTCCCGCACTTCCTCAGTTTGATGTAGGGTTTCTTGGTTCACAAGTTGTTTTCTTCCTTGTAAATTGATCTATATAGTTGCTCTGATATTGCCCTAGGACATATTTAACTGTTGGAACGTATTTATATATGTATACTGGAAGTTGATGTATATATTTAAATGCTTGTTGACAGGTGTAAATTTTGGGAATGTTCGATTTGCAAGGGAAACTCTGCCGAATTTTTGGTAGAAGTCGAACTTGCAAAAAGTTTAAATTTTAACAAGAAGGGCAATTAGGTCATTTGTGCTCGGCACCCGCCAGGTGTCGATCACGCACAGGGTTCGGCTAGGATTCCAAAGTGGAATTTGGGTCAGGTCCTGTCAGCAGACATGCTAAAGAAGATCGTGAGGCCGATGAAGAGGAGGAAGAAATGGTTGTAGCGGTGTGTATGCTCAATGAATCAAGGCAACACCACCGTCGTCATGCCCCGAACTTTGAACAGACATAGGCAGTCTCGGGGTAAGAATATCTTGGAAGATTACTTTATCCCAAATTCGTTATATCATGTTTCTTATTTTCAAGAGAGATATAGAATACAGTCTCATTTCTTCCAAAAAAAATCATGCAAGATATTTGGAATTACGACACATACTTCGTTTAGGAGTCTGATGCTATTGGGGTTTTGGGTCTTCTTCCAAAGCAAAAATTTACAGCTGCTTTGCGGATGCTTGCATATGAGGCATTTGCAATGCAGGTGGATGAGATTGCGCGGATGTGAAAATCCACTATCTTAGAGTGCTTGGTCAGATTTTGTGATGCAATAGAAAATCTCTACAATAGGGAGTACCTCCGTAAACCTACGGCTAGGGACCTCCGAAGGCTTGAACAAAAACTCGAGGCTCGAAGTTTCCCATGCATGATTGGAAGCATCAATTGCATGCACTGACAGTGGAAGAATTGCCTAACTACTTGACAAGGAGATTATGAGAATCGAAAGGGCCAAAAAAGTATAATTCTGGAGGCCGTAGCTTCATTCAACACTTGGGTTTGGCGTGCTTTCTTCGGAGCTGCCTGATCACAGAATGACCTTAATGTCCTTGGTCAATCCCTCGGTATTCAACAATGTCTTGAGAGATCATTCCCCTCATATCACATACCGAATCAACAATATCGTATACTTGGGCGCGTACTACCTCGCCGATGGAATTTATCCGAGGTGAACGACATTCGAGAAAACAATTCTGAATCCCCAATCCGAGAAGGAAAAAAGCTTTGCTGCTTTCAAGAATGTTATAAGAAAAACGTGAAAAGGTGTTTGGGTATCTTGCAAGCTCATTGGAAAATTATCACGGGTGCTGCTCGGATGGTTGATGAGGAGGTGTTGTGGAGCATTATGATGACTTCCATCATCCTCCATAATAGGATTGTGGATGATTAGTATGATTATGATGTTCTAGAGGTGTTCGAACTTGATCCCATGAACACGTCATAAACTAAAATTTATGAAAGGCCGATGTGAGCAAATGGACAACCAATGGAGCACGAACCATTAATTTGGGATGGTCGATACAACAACCTCATGATTGATCGTTATCAAGAAATGCAATCTTTGTATGTTCACGAGAGACATCAAGTTGACTTGATCGAGCACTTGTGGGAGATGAAAGGCAATCACAGTAGATGAAGTGAAGTTTAATGTTTTGTTTTTAATTATGCTCTGTTTTGTGTGTGGTTTGTTTGGAATTATGCTTTGTTTTGTGTATGGTTTGCAATGAATTAAGGTTTGTTTTTAATTATGTGAAGTTTTGATGTATGAATTTTTTTTAATAAATAGCTATATTTTTTAATGCTTTCTTTATTGAATAAAAGGGAAACAATACAACAAATTAATACATATTGAATAAAAGGGAAACAATATAACACATTAATACATATGGCAACTCTTTCAATACAACCTAATGGTTTTGATCATTTAACCAATCCGTGTTGCTAGGTCCATCGTCATGGAAAAGCTTTCTTCTCATAACATCCCTTCGTTTTAAATTCCAATAAGACTTTGTTTCATGAGACATATGGCTCATATTCATGGCCATGATTTTCATCTCTCTGTCCTCCATGTCTTGTTCTTGTGCCTGCTGCCTTTGCATTGCAAATGCTCCATGTCGTGCCTTGTTCGCTTCTTCTCTTTTCAAGTCTCTCTCAATTCTTAGTGTGTCGTTCCTAGCAATTTGCTCCAAAAATTGTGCACATTCATTGTTCGAAGTGCTCCCTCTCTTGGCCTTTCCTGCCTTTTTCCCAATAGGTCTCAGCTGACGTTGGACTGCTGAATCTTGATCCATTGGGGAGTCCAATGTCGAATTGGTTGCCGGCGAATTGTGGAGCAGCGTCTCTGACAAGACCCATCCCGAATTCCTCGGAACCCAGAACGAATCCTGTGAAATTTCCGACATTGCACCGAAGCCGAGCCTACTTATTAAAGACAGAGACTTTTTGTCGAATATTTTGGCAGAGTCTCCCCTATAAATTGGACATTTCCCAAATTTTCAACCTGTTAAAAACACAATGAAAAAAATATCCCAACAAGCAGCATACACAAAGTAGTAACTTGTAGTTTACGTAATAGGCCTATGGCCTTCAAGTAATTTGAAATAGAATGTTCTTAAATCAAGTAATTTGAAAGCAAAGATAACCCAAATATCTGAATCCTCTGTCACACGTCGGATAATCCAACGCCACATGTGATGAGCTAATAACATAATCTTAATGTTTCACACGCCGGAATATTCCAACGCCACGTGTGAGATCCAATAATCACATATTTTCCCACACGCCGAAATTTCCAACGCCACGTGTGGGAAATGTCTCACATGCCGGAATATTCCAACGCCACATGTAAGACAAGATAATCACATATTCTTCTCACACGTCGGAAAATTTCTAACACCACATGTGGGAAGTGTCTCACACGCCAGAATATTCCATCGCCACGTGTGAGACCAGATAATCACATATTCTTCCCACACGCCGAAAAATTTCCAACGCCACATGTGAGACCATATAATCACATATTCTTCCTATACGCCGGAAAATTTCTAATGCCACATGTGGGAAGTCCAGTAACTGGGAAATGGTACTTAACATAGTGTAATTATATACCTTCCAAAATAATCAACATTATTTATTAACCCAATTCACCATAATTCATCCAAACCTCATCACAAATAATTTGAACTCAATATAAACTCATCGCCAAAGCAAATCAAGCTCTCAAATCTCGAGATAACCCAAATTCACAATTAAATAATACTAATACAAATATATTTGAATTTCCCAAATTTTCATTCAAACTATATTTCATGCATATTTATTTAATTACTGAAAATAATGCACATTTTAAAACAAAAACCACTTAATTACTAATAATTATAGCCGAGTCCAAGGCTCACTTTCACGACCCACTAATCCAATATCTCAAGCTCGCCCATTCCATAACTTCAATTGTAAATAACAAAATCCAAGAATTTCTACAAGATACTATAAAACAAACTCCTAATCCCAACATAATTAGAACAACCCAAATAACGGTCAAGACTCGCTTACATGGCCGTTCTAGTACCTCTCAAAGGGTAAAACTACCTCGGAAGACTCACGGTCAACCGAGTGGTCTAACTACCCAAACTTGGTCAATCGGGCCCATGGGGCCCACGACCTCCGATTTCCGATCCGAAAGTTTCTATAGGTTCTACATATTTTAATAACCACGTCCTGTGAGTTTGGTCCGAATCGGACTGTCGGATTGATCACGATCGGACGGTTATCGTAAAATGCAAACTTTATGTTATTGAATTGGAACATCCGGGTCTCCGATTCACGATCCGAGGGATGTCTAGATTAACATAAATTAAATTCAGACGATCCAACGGTTCGAACCAATCGAACCTAGAAATCGCACAATAGGTGAGATCCGTTTGGGGTTCAAACATTAACCAAATTGGAATCCGAAAGTACATACGCACTCGTGAGGACCAGGAGATCATTTTATGACATAATGCCGGTAAATTACCTGGCCCACGCGCCGGCAGCTCGTGGATGCCTTGAGTAATTTCTGGCGGCCAGAAAAACTCCAAATCGCCAGCTAAGCTTCCTACCCTAGGTGTAAAACCCCATTTGGAGTCACTTTTGTTCTTGGACATACCCCAAAAATGGCCGGAAGTGGCCAGAATCGCGATCCCAAAACCGGCCAAAATCCAATTCGAAAATCGAACTACCTAGGCTCAAAATTGATAAATTCCTACCCGACCATCAGCTAGATCATGAAAAATAGGTGAGAAAGCATACCTCACTAGCCTGAAACGGTGGCCGGAAGAGGGAGAACAAGCCAGCGTAAGTTTACGAAAAAGCTGTTCAAAACCGCCTGTTTCTTGACTGTTTCAGGCGACTACGGAGGCGAATCGAGCCGGAGAAGGGTTGGGACTGGAAAAGGGAAGTGTGGTGGTTCTAACGGGACCGGTCTTTCTTGAAATGGTGGCCAGAGTTGGGAGAAATCACCCTTTGAAGTTGGCTGGTCGAGCTGCCCAAAATGAAGAAAGTCTGGGTTTTAAAAAAGCTGAACTTTGAAATATTTACGATTATGCCACTGAACTTCTTTTGATCGCCATTTCTTCGTTACAACTCCGATTCGAGTCCACTACATGTCTATGGACTCGCTTCGACGTGCTCTATGGAACGGTCCGATTGGAATTTCCAAATTCCTTCCCGAACTTAAAATGACATTTTTGCCCCTTTTTAAATTAAATAATATCTTTAATTTTTAAAAACCTTAATTAATTCAAATTATTTTATTTTATTGTTTATTTCAATTTATTTTCTCATTTAAATTTATTTCCTCTTACTTTAATCATTTAATCATTTAATCTCCCCCCAATAAAAAGTCAACTCTTAAATCATTTCAATATTCCCTAGGTAAAATTGTATTTTCCTTGAATAATTTAATGTTTAACTAATAATTTAGGATCGGGCTGTTACAATCTCATTCAACATAACCATCGGACCTGTGGAAATTATTTTGAATCTCGGACAATTCTTCACAACGTCCCAACATTGGTGATTCATGAAACTTTTTTTGTCTTGGCCCTTGACACCTAACTACATTTGTGCTTATATGATCTATTAAAAATAAATAATTGAAAATGTAATAAAATATAAACAATTTGGAAATACAAGAAAAAAAAATGAATATGCAAGGAAAAAATTTGATTATGCATGAAAATATAAACAAATTGGAAATGCAAGAAAAATAAAATTAATATAAACAAATTGGAAATGCAAGAAAAAAGTTACATTAAATTGAATAAAACGGCATTTATAAATATTTTACCTCATCAGCAAGATTTTGACCGCTTCGAATGTTGTCCCTCGCTTTTGCCAACACATATCTCCATTTCCCAACTCTTTATTCAAAATTTTCCACCAACTAGCCAAGGCCATTTCCGTCCGAGACGAACCCAATCTTTCAATAAATTCTCCATGAATTTTTCTTCACATATGACAGAATTTCATCTCATTTCTCGTGACCGGGCAATGACTAACTTTCACCCAACCCTCACACAACACAATATCTTCCTGAGTTGTCCACAGGCCTCCGGCTTCGATAGAAAAGGCCATTTATTTTTTTGATACAAATGGAAAGTAGTAGAAAAATGTGAGTAGAAAGTAATAAATATTGGAAGGAGAAGAGTCTGTATGGCCATTGGATTTATGGACAAAATTCGATCGGAG